ACCGTTCTTATGATCAATGACTATAAATAACCAAAACTGCGATCTACAGTTTAAAATTATTTTTCGGCATAATTTTAAATATTTATTTTTTTGGTATGCCTTGCCATTGTCTCAAAGGGCAGTATCCTAAAGCTTGCATTTAGGGGACCTTCCCAATGAAGTGGTTCAAGCTCAATATTAATAGGTGTGCGGTGACATATCTATAACCAAAATGAAAAGAAGTCAACACATTCCAGCAATTGCGATCAGTCTCATTACCTCTTTACTTGTCGCCCCTTACTTGCTTATTCGCAACCCGAGAATAACTGATTTGGGTTGGCAAAAATGCTTGGGCTTGGATGGTAGTAGGGTCCTTCACAAAGATTGCTACATGGTCCAACTTCTGTTCAACCTTTTGTGCCATCAAGCCCAACTTACTATCTCCCAGGAGGGATTATGGAATACTGAGAGGTTAGGGATCTTACTAACTATCCTTTTTCAACCTTGTTCAAGTTTGTCGAGCCACATATGAATTCGAAAATTTAGAGGATGAATTTTGACCTAATTCTGTCACGCGTTGAAAATCATGTGATGCAAAAGCGGATGCATCGCCCATGCACGCACAAGAGCTATATTACCTCTGAACTCTGAGATGGGTGATACTATTAAATCTTGACGGTCTAATTTTCATAAAGAGGATTCATAGGTGGGATTAAATCAGTTATAGACAGATCAATATTTAATGCCCTTTCATATTAATTAGTCTTTTGTCATATGATACTGGGCTTCTTCCTGAAGATCTAGTCCTCATCCCAAAGGCCTACCTGGTTTGTGTGGTCTAGGCCTATTTTCATTTTCATTAGTTTGTACCTAGTGAAACATATAGGTGGTTATCAGTTAGTCAAATGACCACCACCTATGTTATTGGATTTTAAGGTTGTGGGTTCAAACCTCGTAATTCCCCTCTTTTGTAATAGTGTCTAACCCCCCCCCCAAAAAAAAAAAAAAAAAAAAACCATATTGTAATTTTTTTCCTTTTGTTTTTTGGTATTCATATGTATATGTTATTATTAATGACAAGGTTTTAGTAAGAATTTTGGCAATTTGATTTGATGACACGAGAGTGGTGCAATGATTATTAGGACCTCATGTCATTTGCAATAGCCTGAAAGTTGGTTTAAAGTTCATTGATTTATTTTGGGGCACATTTTTGTGACAACCTTTATAGAGTTGGAGAGAAAAATAAGTTGCAACTAAAATCACTTGTGCAATTCCTTTATAACCATAACACTAAAAAAATAAAAATAATTGTTGTGCTGAAACACTTACTAGAATTGTTGAGACCAGGGGTGGAGTCAAAATTTTTTTTTAGGGTAAGCACACTCTAACTACAAGTTTTAATTTCGATGTATTTCATTTCGGAAAGTATATTTGGGGTGCAGAAGGAGAAGATTTGGGGACAACGATTCAACTTGATTTGGAAAAGGATATAATTTGGTGAGAGTTTTACCAAGTAATTATAGGTGTGAATGATGGTAATAAAATTTGAAACTTTTGAGGGTTGGAAAAATTTTCAGGACTCATTTTGATTTGTTGGATTAAATAAATATGAAAATGATTTGAACCGTTTTTTTTATGTTGGGGTAATGTAGTCTGTCAGATATATCTTTGTTTTGTCTTGAAACTCTTTATCTTTAGAATTCAAAACTCCGCCTACTTTATTATATAGTCTAAGAATTGTTTGTACATAGCGGTACTATGTAACGAACAAAAAAAGCTCAATTAGAAGGCTTATCAATTAAAAGACCACTACAAAAACAACATATGAAGCATTTAAGGTGGATAACAAATATATTTAAACTGACAATCAATTACTTTCCTATTGAAATGAATGTATCACCATGTCCTCTAGAGGGGTAGTATATTTTTTTGATTAGAAACAGACGATATAATCATTTTATTAAGCAGGAAAATTTTGATTACAATTAGACAAAAGAAAAGCCATAAACTCGAGGGGGGACCCTAACCAACTCGCCGGAAGGGAGTTGGTTAGTATATTGGCCGCCACCCAATGAGCAGCCTTGTTAAGAGCCCTAGGCTTGTGTAAAAAGCTTAAGTTATAAGTCCTAGCATAAAATCTAATATCTTTAATGATTACTCTAATATCCCATGGGGGCTCATCTTCATTTGAGCTGAGCTTAATGACATTGAGGCAGTCACTTTGGATAGCTCCAGAACTGTTAGTGCTTGTTTGCACTATTTTCTAGAACTATAAGGACTTCAACTTAGATAAGTTATAATACATATTAGACCAATGAAAAAAATTAGTTATACATTATGAATCCATAAAAAAAAAAGGAGAAATCAATTAGAGTTATCTTTAGATTAAGGATAATATTGATTTTATATTATTGTTAAATCACAGTTACGAAATTATAATATAGACTTTATTAAATTGTGCTGGGATAAAATTAGAAAATAAATTTTTATTTTTAAGTAGTTACTTTTATGAATTATATATTGGTAATCATTGAATTTATAGGGTTCTTCAAGAGTTCATACAATGTCAAATTTTTATGATTTAAGTCACAAGTGTTCATATATTTATTTAAGAACAAAATAGAAAATCAAAAGTTTTAAATGAAATTATTAGAGTGAGGTATAATTATCCTTATAAATTTTTTTAAGGGTAAAAGAGGAATTCAAAAGTTTTTCATCTAAGATACTTTTATTAGTAGTATAAATAAATATAAATTTTAGTGATACAAGGCTATTTTTAAATTAAAAAAAATTTAGTAAGACAACTATGGTTACTTAATTTGAGTTAGTGCATTACTTCTAATGGCTTCAAAATTAACTTATAGAAATGTAAAGTTATTATTCATACCTATTATATAATAGAAAATTGATTTTAATAATAAGATTGCAAAGTGATAACACATATAATATAAACATTGGATGTAATAAAAAAATTAAGTTGAATTATAGGGCCTTAAATTTTTTTAAAGAGGTTCTAAAATTTTTACTATAATACTACTTGTACTTAATTTGAAGATCAAATACATTTGATAAATAGTGAATTTTGTTTAAAACTAGCACTTACTTGGCATTGAATATTTAAGTTATATCCTAAAATTTAGATTGTATACCATTGTTAAAATTTGGGTAAATTGTAAGGGGTACACCAAATTAGATTTATTTGGCCAAAAATACACACTAAAAAATGTAGGGTTATTAAGTCCTTAATTTTGATACTTTTTTGTATCTAAGTACACAATTTGAATTTTTGCCTAATTTTTTTTGTGACATTTATATATATATATATATATAAACAAATGCACATGAATCAAAGTGCATTAAATACTAAAGTTCTCCCATAAAACTAAGAGATATTTAATGTACCACTTTTCCTAAAATGGACATTTATGTTTTTGTATCTAACTAGTGTACTTTTTTTCAAAATATTTTTTAATATGTATTTTTTGTCAAATAAATCTAATTAAGTATACCGACTTTCAAAAATCCCTTAAAATTTTTATTTTGTGGGCCCTTGGCAATGGCCTGGCCTATAGTTTGGGCCCGTATTGGGTGGGACGGCAGTAGGAGGTTTTGGTAGTAGTGGAGGTGGTGTTGGGTGATGGTGGTGGTAGTAGCCAATGGCTATGGTGGCGAAGTTTGGTTGTTGTGGCAAGTGGTGGTGGTAGTGGTTGCCAATGGGAATGGTACAGTAGTGAAGTTGGTTGTGGTGGTGGGTAGTGATTACTGTGAAAATGAGAAATTTTTTCTGTAGAAGTTTTTTTTTCAGAAGTAGAAGTTACTTATTTTTTTGTTTTAAAAATTATTTAAGTAGTAAAATTATTTTTAACTTGTTTTAAAGTAATTTAAATAAATAATTCCAAACTACACCTTAAGGCTTAAACCATCTCAAACAATCCCGTAATGGAAGTATCCACATACTTTTTACACCTACCTATCTTTTGGTCAAATGGTACTATTTATGTTGTGAAAACTTTATCTTTTTGAGATCAATAGTTCAAATTCTCTCAAAAAAAAAAAAAAATTTATGATGCCTCTTGAACTAGATATAGACTAAGCGTGTTCTAATTGTTTAATTATCTAGATTAAAAGAAAATTTGAACATAACACTTCCTATTCTGATATCATGTAAACCATCAATTACTGTACAAAATTACAATATTAAAATAATCATAAGACGATGCAAAAAATAGAGAAACATGTGAATAAATGAGTTGAGTGTGAGTGTGTGAGAAAGACTACTAGTAATAAGAACACAGAATTAAGTGGTTTATCAAGCTGAAAAATTAGGTTAATCAACTCTAATAGAGTTTCTTGTTCTCTTTGACTTGTATTACATGGTGAAAAAAGTTACAACTTTTTGTGTATACAATTGTTCATTGGTCTTAACGAGGCAAGAGTTTACTTATATATACACTAGAGTAGTGTGGTCGTCAAGTAATGATGGGATGATCTCTAGTTTGTTAGAATTTTGGGAAAGAATATTTGATTGTTAGATACTACATTTCCTAAGTATGACGTGATATTTTAGAATCTGATGACGTGGTTCTTTGGAGATGGAATTTCCTCATCCATGGTCGGAATGGATAGTGTAATTCCTTTTGTGTCCTTCCGAAAGTTCATTGGGCTGCTTCTAATGATCTTTCTATAATGGGCCAACCTAGCCTAGTAGTAGTGAACCCCTTCTGGTTACTCGGTTGGGTTTACCCTTGGGGCATTTGTTCCAGATAAGCTAGGCCTGCTCAATCCTATTTGGGATGGGCTGGCTATTTCATCATACTCATCAGACAGTATTCCGAAAACAGTGTAGCATTGCTGATTTTATAATCCATATGGTGATAGTCTAACGGACAAGTGGTCTATATGGTTCATAAGCTATATATGTTTTTAGTGTAGGTTTGATTCTAACTAATCATTTTGTGAAAGTGCAGATGTGAGTTATTTAACAAATGGGTATTTGGATACGGTGATAGATTGGGTTTCAGGAATGAAAAATATTCATTTGAAGGATCTTCCAAGTTTTATCAGAACTATAGGTCCGAATGACATAATGTTCAATTTCACCATGACTGAAGCTGAGAAAGTTCATAAAGCTTCTGCATTGATTTTGAACACATTCGATGCCCTAGAGCATGAAGTCTTGGAGGCACTTTCAACAATTTTTTTCACAGTCTACACAATTAGACCTCTCCAACTACACCTGAATCAAATCAAAGAAGATGATATGAAAACTTTTGAGTCAAATCTTTGTTAAAAAGAAGCAGGATGCCTCGAGTGGCTTGACTCTAAGGAACCCAACTCCGTGATTTTTGTGAATTTTGGCAGTGTTACAGTCATGACAAGCTAACAACTAGTTGAATTTGCTTGGGGACTTGCTAATAGCAAGCAAACATTTTTATGGGTCATTAGACCTGATCTAGTCATTGGCGAATTAGCAATTCTTCCTCTTGAAATTGTGAGTGAGACTAAAGAGAGGAGTTTATTGGCAAGTTGGTGTCCTCAAGAACAAGTCTCAATCACCGATCCGTCAGGGGATTCTTAACACACTGCGAATGGAATTCCACCATTGAAAGTATTTGCGGTGGTGTGCCTATGTTTGTTGGCCATTTTTTGCAGAGCAACAGACTAACTGTTGGTTTTGTTGCAATCATTTGGGGATTGGGATTGAGATCGGAGGTCATGCTAAAAGAGAGGAAGTTGAGGGTCTTGTGAGAGAATTGATTGTGGGAGAGAAGGGGAAAGTGATGAAGAAGAAGGCAATGGAGTGGAAGAAGAAAGCAGAAGAGGCCACTACTTGTTCATCTGGTTCATCTTGCATGAATTTTGAGAAAATGGTCAAGCTTTTGCTTATGACCAGTGGTTCAAATTTGCAGTGTCGATTGATAGATTTTATTGAAGAATTTAATCTTCCTATAAAAGAATTTAATATTTACCTCCTATTATTGATATTCAAGTTCGAAAAACAAGAAATTCAAATTCTTTATAGAAAGAATAATCAACGAACCCAACGACCCCAATAAGCACGAATCCGTATTACAGTCTTGATCTCAACACTCAAGAAGAACACTCAATAATAACCTCACAAATATGTATTATATGGAGGTATATAAGACAAGAGTTTACTGCCTATGTATATGATATCTGAATCTTATATGACTTAATAAAAAATCACAAACATGAGAACATATATAGGCAGAGACCCTTATCCAATACAGAAACTGCAAGTAACGTCCTTCCATCAAGGAGTTATAACTACTTTAAACTACTCCATGATAATCACTTCATCTGATGATGGAAGTAGTGGATAGTTACCTAAACGTCAGTTATCCAGAAGGATTTGACTCAATAAATAAGATATATATATATATATATATATATAATATTTATTTATTAAAAAGGCATGTGGGTCATTTTAAGTATCTAAATAGAGATAGACTCCAATATTAATTAAACATAAAATCCAACATCAATCTCATGAGTGAGATTTAAGAATAGCCTCACTTTGCATAATTACTGAAATATTGTCAAAAGTTGTGGAAGCTTTAATATCGTGAATTAGTGATGATCACGATGCTAATCAAGGTTGATTTCAATGTGAATGTTTAAACTACTTTTTAAACACTTTTAGCAATCTTGCTAATTTTGGCTTGGTTTGCTTGTAATTTTAGACTAATTGTATTTACTATTTATATATTGTAATAAACATTCTTTAGTAGTTTTGATATTCTTAATAATGGAGAAAATATTTTCTCTTGGTTCTCAATTACGTTTGTATTCTTAAAACAGGGTTTAAGTCCCAATAACTTCACTCAATCAAAATTATGGCCTAATTTGGAAAGCTAGCCTGAGATCTTAATGCATTATAACTCTTACATTAACAATGAGTTCCATTGTTGAATGAATTCCATCATCATTCCAATTATTATAAAATATATTAAATCTACGAATTAAATTTGTCAAATTAAATATAAATAATATCTATAATATAAAACAGGGCTGCTTCAACAAGTCTATTCTATGGTCTCAAATTCATTCGTCCAACGGTCAAGAAATTACTTTTTCTTTCCTTAATATTTCCCCCCAACTGGTTAACGATTACGGTTAATTTTGGAGACATCCTACGATCTCAAATTCATTCATTCAAAGTCAATAAATTATCAATTTTTCCTTAATATTTCTCTCATAATCGGTCAACGATTACAGTTGATCTTGGAATACAAGACTTTCATAAATATTATAATTAAATGAGTTAAATTTGCCATTAATATCATATGTGTAGTGTAACAATTTGAATTTTTATAAGACATAATAATAACATTTTGATTAAAAAAAACTCATTAATTTAACAAATAAAAAAAATAAGGGCGTTATTTAACACATTTATATTGAATATAATTAATTTTAATTTTATTTATTTAATTAATTATCTTAAACTAACATGACTTACATATATCCTTAATCAAAAGTTCAAGACTAATTTTTTTAAATTAATAATATATTCTTATAAATTCTTATAAATTTTGTAAATTATAGACTTTTTGTAAATTCTTATAAATTCTTATGAATTTATAAATTCTATAAATTTTGTATATAGACTTTTTTTTTGTTTTGAGTATCAAACTTGGCTGATATATTCTTATAAATTAATAATTTTGTAATAACTTGTACTAATAAAAAAAATAATATTTTTAAATGATATTTGTAAAAAATTTTTTAATAGAACATATTTTGACGATATATTTTTGATAAATTAGATTTGACTCAATTTGATTACATGTATATAAATTAATATTCTTTTAAGTCAATTATATTATATTTTATGAATTTATCATAATATAAAACAGAAAAGAGTTTAATAAGTCATCCAACGACACAACATCTCTTTGAAAACCATTTAGATT